GTGGAGGCGCCACGGAATTCCCACCCCCGCCACGTGTTTTTCGGGTTTTAGTGGAAGCGCTTGTTTTTCACAGCTGAGCTTCCCCGCAAGAGTGATTTCCTACGTTTTGATTAGTTCCAGACCGCGCAGTTTAAAAAGAACTCTATATCAACTGGTCAAAAAAGACGATTGTGATTTTTAAAAATGTATCTGAACCCCTTCACTTTTTTTTTTTTAACTTACCTGATGCTCCTCCCTTCCACATATTATTTTTCTCATTTACTTTAACTGAAGAGCAATCAATGTATTATTTCGGGTCACAAAGCCAACTCCAGTGTCAGCATTCATAAATCTTTAAATGGGATCTTGGCTGAGAGATCACTTAGTCTGTATCAAGTGTTCTGTGAAAGTTTCTTTTCCTTCATCTTACAGGCTTTCCCCAATAAACGTGGGAAAGAAAACAGCTGTTAGGCGACCGACTTCCTACTTTGTCCATAACGTTAGTCATGTCCTGATACAACAAATCTATGCAACAGACTAACTTGAACTGAACAGCTCTGCCTTCTGATGGCCTCGCTGGAGAGTCAAATTGTAGGATATTTTGTTTGTTTTCTTGTATTTTGTTGAAGGGTGTCAACACTAAGCCCCGACTCATAGTGATGCACTCGTTTTCAGCCACCCCAGGGCTGGGATTACAGGCGTTCACTAGTCTAACCGGACTCTGTGGCCGGCTCAGCACGCCTGGGGGCGGGGTGAGGCATCACAGGCTGGGTAATGGAACCCTGGGCCCTGAGCTTGTCTAAGCAGGCGCTTAATTCGCTGAGCCATCTCACCTGCCCTGGAAGGTCAAATTTTGTAGGGCTCCTAAATGTGCGCTCTTCAGTAGCAACTGAGTTTGTGGTCCAAAGTACAGTAATTCCTACCTGTTGAGATGGTTTTCTGAGTTCAAGCATAGTAAAACGTACATTTCACGTTTCATTTCTTTGAGGTGTTCAACCTGCTCCCTACTAGCGCAGAGAAATTCCGAAAGAACAACAAAACATGTTTACAGAATATAAATTTTTATTGTGGCCATGTCTATACATTGTAACTGTGTTACTTAATAAATCACATTGTTTTGATTTAGCTTTGTATTCATTTGTTGTCTACTTTATGTCCATTTGTAGCCTACATTTCTTTCCCTTTTTCTTAGTTTTTTTAATTTTTTCCTTTTTCTTAGTTTTAAACTTGATTCATAAAAAGTAAAAATGTTATCAACAAAGTTATTACCTTCCTAAAGTATTTCTTTAAATTTTCAAAGACTTCCATGTTACTGTTGAACATTGAGTAGTTGCTTATAAATTACATCTTCAGTGGTGAAACTTTAAAAGTTTACATTTTGCATATTCATAATCTTAATTTTTAATGTTTAAAATTATGTGTGGCCTTTTTGCAAGCTACCATTTATATTCAGATATATTAATGCACTTTAGTTATAACAATAACAAAATTTAAATAAATAGCATTATAAAGATAATTGTTTTAATATGTTATATCATTCCATTGGTAATAAAGATTACTGTCCCAAAATACAACAATGTATGCATCAAATTCACGAATCCAAGTTATGTGTGCAAGAGGAAGACCATCACTTCTCAGCCTTTTGGCTAAGATCAAGCAAAGAGGGAGGCTACAGCAAAGTATAAAGGACCTCAGAGGGGTATGGGGAGATGGCTCAGTAGAATAAGTACTTCCCTGGCAAGTGCAAGGACCTGAGTTCAGTACCAGGTTCCACCACAAAAAAAAAGGACCCCAGAATCTGAAAAGGACGGCTTTCTAAAGCCCTAAACCCTTAACCCTTTCTGTGAGATAGGGTCTCACTATGTCCCTAGATTGCCTAGGCTGGGCTGAAACGTGCGGCTCTCCTGCCTTGGTCTTCCAAAGTATTGCTGTTTCCTTACCAGTGACTTATCCAACTCCACTTTATTCATCCCACTTCCTGAGCAAACATGACTGTGATAATCCACAAGTGATTACACAACCCAAGCACCTCAAGGTGCTAGGTTTAGAATCATTCCAAACCCTTTAAAAAATCCCTTAGTTCCTCACAGGAGAGGAACTCATGGTTGCTCATATTAATTGCGACAGCAAATTAATAAACCTAACATTGTTATAACGGTGTTCCGTGCGAGTTCTGTCCACATCTGTATCTTATCACTGTTCTAAGCTAGACATTAATTTATAGACTTCATACTTTTGTAAGACTAGCATTGAGTCACTACAGTAATGACACTATCTGATGCCTGCGAAGTGTCCTACAGCTAACAAAGTATTGCAAACAAGCAGCAGCTACCCATAAATATTTGATAGTTTCTTTTCTCGTTTTGTGGAACTTCATCTTTTCTTTCTTTTTTTTTTTTTTTTTCTTTTTACGGAACCGGGGATTGAACTCAGACCCTTGCGCTTGCCAGGCAAACTCTTATTCTACTGAGCCATCTTCCCAACCCCTGAAACTTCATCTTGAAACATATTGACATCAGGATCTACTGCTGATAACTGACAGTGAAGTGGATTGCTAACTGGTGTTCAGCTAGTTATATCCAGCTGAATTGAACTAGCACGGTGCTGGGTGTGGGAGGCCCACCTGCAGGTTGTTGCCAGCAGCATAAGAGACAGAACAGGAGAAGCTGTTGAGAGGTTGTTAGGGAAGTGTCTGGAGAAGCTGTTGTAGCAGCTGGAAGCTGCTGGGTTTGGAGGGCTATTCTGCCGGAGGATCTTGTCTTGCTGGCTTTCCTGACAAACTGGGTAGTTCTTATCTGAGGAGGAGCTCCAGACCTCATTGTTGCTAAGAATATCTGTAATACATTTTGGGGGAGCTCTGGTCCACATCTTAAGCATCACTTCCTGGCTTCAGAGAGGAAGATGGGGCACCACTCAGTCTCCTGGAGAAGCTTGTCACGTTGGGTTTTCTGATGGCAACTTACTTCCCTCATCTCCGGAGGAGCTCGGGACCTCACTGCTCCTGAGGATGGCTGTGGTACTTTGCGGGGAGCTCTGTTTCTTACCTTGAGCATTGCTTCCCGGCTCCAGTTCAGATCCCTCAGCCTGCTGGCACAGATCCTTCATCCCACTGGTTTAGACTTCCTAGCTTCCACCACCGACCTTTGGGCCCTTCCAGCACAGATCCAAGAAGCAAGAAGTAAAGCGAAGCGGGCCTGCAGGAGACATTGTTGTGGGCTCTCCGCCTCCAGCTGGACTTGTGAGAGACATTGTTACAGGCTCCAGGTCTTCAGCTGCACTCAAGCAGGATGTTAGGATCCAGGCCTTCAGCTGGATTCTTTGGTCTTTAGTGGGTGGACAGACTTCCTGCACTCTTGCATATGATTCTTTGGGTGATTATAAAATAATCTTATAAAATATGTCCTGTACTGTATTATTTCAATTGCAAAAAACCCAAACCACAACAGACAGCTGTTTACTTCCCTCCAATGGTCTAGAAAGGAAAAAAGAATGACAAATCTTTGGCCTTTTATCCTCCATGTTGTAAATTTATAAGATAAAAATGACAAAACTTATCAAATTGTACTTTGTATAAAAGGGGCACTAAAGATATTTATGAAATTTGAGCTAGGTTTATCTCAATTTGGTTCAGCAAACACTGAGTAACTACTGTATATCAAAAACACTGCTGGCATAATTCAGATCTGCATGGTCTCCCAAAGGCCCATGTGGCAAAGGCCGGGTCCCTCCTTAGTACTATTAGGAAATGGTAGAAAATTTCAGAGGAGTGGCCTTGAAGGAGATCTTCTGGTCATGGAGTGGGCAGAGGCTCTTGGTGTGGACAGTAGGACTCCAATTCCTTTTCACTGTGCTCTTCCATCTCAGTTTTCCCAGCCATGCAGTGAGAAGCTTCACTTTGCTAAAATCACTGTCTATCACACCATGATATGCTGCCTTACCCGAGGCTCAAAGCAAGGGTTGCACCCAACCATGGACTAAGACCTCCCCAAATTATTAGTCAAACCTTTTTCAGCCAGGTATAATGGTGCATGCCTATATTCTCAACATGCAAAGGCTGAGGCAGGAGGTACACTGAGTTCTAGGCCAGCTTGAGCTACACAGTGCGTTCAGTCAAGGCCAGCCTGAACTGCACAGTGAGGTCATGTCTCAAAAAAAAAAAAAAAACTAAACTAAAAACCTTTCCCCTGTATAAATTGAATATCTCCAGTCTTTTGTAACCATAATAGAAATCTACTTAACATAAATGCCAAAGTAAAAAGAATATTTATTAAAAGTATACTTATAAGACTGCAAGTACTCAAAAAGATAGTCTCAATATATTAAAATAAGATATTTCATTTTGCATTTTGAGTTGTTT